AAAATACTGATATTCTGGTCTATAACTCCTCCCCGAACTTCCCTCTGCCCTGTATCTTGGTCTCTCATTGGCTGTAGGTCATCGCCGATGTAGTTTTCAGTCAGAAATCATTGCACACAGCGTGATTGTGAATCGCCGACAGCTCCAGATATTTAGCATGCCAAATATTTTGCGGGCATCGGCGACGTGATAGGGCTGCAGCAGAAGTTCTTTTACGCTACTATTTGAATCTTCCGCATTTTAAACGCGGAAGTGTGATAAAGGCCTATCGTTGCCTGGGTTGCGTACGTATGTGTGGGGCGGAGCTATCAAAATAGGGGCGAGACACTTTTGGGGTAGGGGCGTGTTTGTTTTGGTGATTTGAAATATCAACATTGGCTACCAGAAATCTACCCCACCTTTAAACATCAGCCTACATTATTATCATGGTTTCCCAAATTGGGGTTCATACGTTCATGAAAAACTTATAATTAATTACATTTTTTTTTTTTTTAAACAAAATAAATAAATCAAAATAAAACAGTCAATACACGACTTTCTGAACTTAAATAATCTTTTTTATAAAGAAAACCTAAAAAGATAATAACGAAAACTTAGGTATAATCACTAAACTAAAAATAGTTACTGCCACTGTGTGAATAATATCATGTTATCAATAAAAAGTAACTTATTTTAAATCTAACTACAAGTATTTTTTTCTGTAATCTGATAATGTAATCCAGACTACATATAATCAGCTACATATAATCAGTACCCAGCACTGTGTATATATAACAGGTTAGCAACTAAACAACATTCTTTTAGATTTTCTGTACATTCCTGCAGTGGCTTTAACAAAGAGTAACATCTTGCCTTCAGGTATTCATGGCTGGTGAATGTCAGATAATGTTAAGTTCCTGCCTGGCTTTCTATAGCTTTCTGTGTCACCTTTAATATCCAGGGCTCTCTCTATATTTACAAGAGAAGTGTGGAATACACACAATTTAGACTCCTCTGTGGTACACTAAATATTGAAGCTGAAGCTGATAATCTCTGATCGTGAGTTATTCTTGAACAAAATTGAAGAAAAACATGATAATGTGAATATTATAATGTTAAGCTGTACCACTGGCATCATATCTGTAGTATAAAGTATGTTGACATATTGCAGCCAAATTGCAAATATTAAACGTGGGCTTATTGGCACAAAGTCAAGAACCATTTAAGCGAGATCACAGTATTTGTCATAATTTATGCTCTTCAGCTCAAGAGACCAACGATACCATGGATAAAGACAGATTAGATACACTCTAAGAAGTCATTAACATTTTAGATCCTAAATATTCTCTTCAATACCTACAGTGTACATTAGGGCTGTGCAATATATCGAAATTATCGAAATATCGCAAATGTACATATCGCAATATGATTAAACTTGTGATCATGTTGTGTTGAAAACAGCATGATTCCACAAATTATATATATTGGTATCGATATATTGATGGAATATATACAATCAGCTTCTCTTGGATTTTGCTTTTACACTGACACAACTGATACAGTAATAACCCTCTGTAATAACTGGATCAGCAAAACATCAATAATTCGAACACACACATTAAATATTTCAGAGAGCACAGCACTAGTTAAAGTGTTGGTGTTCAAGTTAATAATACAACAGAAGAGATAAAACAGAGGAGAATATCTCACAGTAACATCCTTCCGATTAATCAGCACTGACAGTAAGAGATGTGGCCTGAGGAGAAAAGAAGCAGGTTCCCACCCACGTCTCCATGTAACACTGACGCTGGTGAGGGACACGTTTAAAGCACAGGCACAGAGGTACTAAGCATTCACAGACCACCAACTGACATTCTCTGGTCATCTGGGACAGTCATGACAGCCCTATTCACAGTACACAATAGCCTCCCATTACAATTTTTTTACCCAATTCTGAGATACAATAATGTTGTCACATTGAAATTACTTGGCATAAGTGCCTTCACTTCTGAAAATGTAACAATACAAGAAACTTTCTAGGGTGTATTTTAGTCAAAGCGAGTATAAGAAAAAAATCTAAGATAACAATCAAGGCTTTCTGGGAAAAAACAGCAAGGTGCAAAACTGACGTTTGAATAGCCTGCTAAACATAACCAATGGTGGAAATTGACTGCCACTTAAGCCAAGCAAACAATTTTGTAGAAACAAGGGGTGAACAAAGGGTGATGGTCCATCATTTTCCCCCAAAGCTCTACACAAAGTCCTCAGTGAAATCATAATGGAGGGTGAGTTTCAAGTAGATAGCAGCAACCGAGCTTGAGACAACCAACACAAACAAATAACATGAAAACCTTACTTGAGCAAAATATCACATTGCACAATATAACACAAAACAAAGAGTATATAAACAGCAAACTGTGGGCTAGTGATACCCGATTCCTGAACAAATTGTTATTTTGAGTCGAATCTTTTCAAAGAATCGGTTGATTGATTCAATAAACCGGCCTTGGGCGATTAGTTCACGAATCGGACTGAATCAGTCTGAGCATTTCTCGAGTCACTGACTCTTTAAACAGAGAACCGTCTCTGTCATGTCCGATTTGTAACAAGCTGACACACGATGAGTCAGCTGACAGTTTGTTTGCATAAACAATATTTTATTTTAAAACATGCCGAGAGATGTAGCCTATCTGAAATGAACAAAACACAAACATTATTTAGGTTTTAGGTTCTAAATCACTTAATTATTTTGGCTACAGCATACTGCACCGGACTCGTGACACTACAATACAGATCTAGCCTACATGAATAACAAAATCAGAAAACTACAATAAAGAGCAACATGTACTCACATTTGACTTTTTTAAACGTTTTCGAGCATGCAACGTGCAACGCCAGTGTGATTCGGACTACGTGATGACGCACTTACGTAAAAGAATTGCTAAATGGGGTTTTGAACAGGTTCATTGAAACGAACTGTTCGAAAGAACCGACTCCATGAAATGAGTCGAACTTCCCATCATAGTGGTCCTGTGTGTTAAATGAAAAGGAGGACAAGCTAAATTTCCAAGGAGTCAAACGTATATTCTAACGTATATAAAAATGTCATATAATGTTTCATATGATTCTGAAAGTTAGATTTCACGGAAGACAATATAAACGACGTCTGGATCAATTCTTAAGAAGAAAAATACATAGGCTCCCCAGGGCTGAAATCACTCAATATCTGGTGTTATGAAAAATCATTTTATTTAAATTAGAGTACAACATCCAGCAGCAAACTGCAAGAATGGACTTGTGAAACGTAAAAAATTTTTATTAGACACTCAGTTACCGTCAGACACACCCATGGAAAAAAAGCTTTCAGTAAACGTGGATCGGTTGGAATTCTGTTAACATGTTTATCATAAACTACTCTTGACGTGACTCAAATCCCCCTTTAATCCCGCTTATAATCGTCTGCAACTTTTCTGTCCTTATTAGATTTTTTTTCCCAGGGCTCAAACATTCGTGGGGCTCTTTCGGACGGTGGGAATCATGAATGACTTCATTGTAATTGTGTAAAGTGTTCGGCTTGGCGGGGTTTACAAAAGTCTACCCCCTTCCCCAGCTCCTTATGCAACCCCTCATAGAGACACTCTGGACCCTAGACTTTAAAGATCTATAAGTGAGCCAGTTCACCTCCAAACTCGAAAATATCTCGGGAGGGAAAAAAATCATCACGGTCCCAAACTGTTCTGGTCTATATGGGAATCAGCAGGGTTTATGACCCAAATAAAAGTGACGGAGCGGCACAGGGGGATCTGCCGAGTGTTGTTTACAAAACTGAGAGGAGAGCAGAGCAGAGCAGAGACAGAGGCAGGTGCCAGCAAGTTTAGTTTGAACATTTCTACAGCGACTTGAGTCTCCTACCTGAGCAGCGCGGTGTCTCCCTGTCTGCTGACCACACTCTCGCTGGACGCATAGTCCACAGTTTGTCCAGCGGGCAAGCACGATGGTAAAAAGCAGCAAAGACTAAGAATTATAGCGGTGAGCCATTGACCGGAGACGCACGCATCCTGCACTGCAATCATTATGTCCATCACCGCCGAATGGAGCACGATCCGCGCCGTTATCAAAAATAAAAATATCTGGATGAAAACACAATAATCCTCCGCGAAAACCCCGAGAAACGGCGTTCCGTGTAGTTTCCCAGATTTGTTTTGATCGGAACCTGACCGCGGGAGGAAGTCGACTCTCCAGTGGCTTGCACACCATCTAGTGAGGAAATGGGAAACGGGAGCAGAGCTAGCAGCAGACAACCCCCCTGGCTCTGATCCTGTTGCCATGCGGCCGTTTCCCAGGCAACCTGTTCCCTGTAGCTCGTGATGGAGCAGTTAAGCAGGTGGTTATTCTTGATACGGCAATATTATTTAAATGAGTGAGTTTTGACCACCCGGGGTTTAGCGCCCTGCAACCCCGAGACGTCCTCCTGCAAACACGCACTTTGTTTTGTTTTAGCCTATTGCGTGCGACGTCTCTAACAACGAGTCGATGAAAAGGGCAAGATGTAAAATGACACAGGTCAGGTCTTGTTTGTGTCATCGGTGGCCCATGCAGCCCTGCAGTATGCTGCTATTTGTTCCGAGAAGTTACTGCATGCTGGATGTTCTCATCCATTTTTAGACGGCTTGAAAGATTTCATATTCTCTCAGACCAAGTGTTTTTGTATGTGTGTGTGTGTGTGTGTGTGTGTGTGTTGTTTATCATATCAAAGTAAACAAAAATGTTCTTAAAATTAAACATTTGTGACCCTGGACTACAAAAACCAGTCGTAAGTGTGATTTTTTTTTTAATCGATATTTATACATCATCTGAAAGTTGAATAAATAAGCTTTCCATTGATTTATGGTTTGTTAGGATAGGACAATATTTGGCCGAGATACAACTATTTGAAAATCTGGAATCTGAGGGTGCAAAAAAATAAAAATAATTCTAAATATTGAGAAAATCGCTTTTAAAGTTGTCCAAATGGAAGTCTTTATGCAAAAATTAAGTTTTGATATATTTACAGTAGGAAATTTACAAAATATCTTCATGGCACATGATCTTTACTTAATATCCTAATGATTTTTGGCTTAAAAGAAAAATCCATCATTTTGACCAATACAATGTATTGTTGACTATTACTACAAATATACCTGTGTGTGACTTATGACTGGTTTTGTGGTCCAGGGTCACATATAAGACTTAATATGTGACTCATCAAATAAATACATACAGTGTTGTGGACATGAAATATTAATCTGAATTTTAATTACTTTATAATTTTGCATGTATCTTAAATGTTCTGCCAAAATAGTCCAAACAATATGAAACAACTGACCTTGCAACAACAACTGCAACTTTAGGCCTAATATTAATACTGAAGTAAGTCCTCCTAATAGAAAACTGACAACTCGTCAAAAGACAAGACAGAGCAGCTTACTTTAGCTATGAAACAAAGTCTCAGCTTTCACATTTTGTCATTTTTTAAAGAAATTTAAACAATACATACCGTTATGTGGCTCTTTAATATGTCGTGACAGATCGCTGTAGAGCCTCAGCTTAAAGGGGTCATATGATGCGATTTCAATTTTTCCTTTCTCTTTGAAGTGTTACAAGCTCTTGGTGCATAAAGAAGATCTGTAAATTTGCAAATACTCAACGCACTGGATAGCTGGCCAATCAGAGCACATCTCGCTTCTCAGACTGATGAGCTTTGCAAAAATCGATGCGTTTCAGAAAGGCGGGACATATAGAAGAAACAATAATGTACAGTATGTGGAAAATAGGGAAGTCTGGCCTAATGGTTAGAGAGTCGGACTTGTGTGTTCACGGTGTGTGTGTGTTCACTGCTGTGTGTGTGCACTTTGGATGGGTTAAATGCAGAGCACTAATTCCTAGTATGGGTCACCATACTTGGCCACATGTCACGTCACTTTCACTTTTTTACGTTCACTTTCAAATAATGTATTTTTTTTACTTTAAACCGCATAAACACATTTCATTACACCAAATACACAAAATAATGTTCTTTTTAGCAACATCATATGACCCCTGTGGCACGTGAACTAGAGGTCTGCACGGGCTTTAAAGTGAAGCCCGAACCCGGCCCGTACCCGAGATCGTCTGACCCGACCCGAGCGGCACAGTTAAATTTAGAGCCCGAACCCGAAATCTTTTTTTTTTTTTCCACAACGAATAGCCAATTTAAAAAAATGCTGTATTTCACGATTGCATGCAACGGTCAGTAAGCAAATACATGTAAAGAAACAGAATCATTAAGGCTCAAATTTATTTGAATTAATTATATCATTTATTTGAATTAGTGCGAGAGAGAGAGAGATGAAAGTTGCGTGTGTGAACCTGCGTCTGCGCGTCTCTCTCTACAAGCAATGAGGCTTAGTTTCTTCAAAAACAGCGATTTTACCCCCTCATTGCAGAGAAATATAATGTTGCGAGCCTGTCGAAGCTATTTTACTAATAAAAGTTTCCGTGCTGTGTTGTCGTGTGCTATAATGTGTGTGCGTGCGTCTATGAAAGCAGCGTAGCCTGCATATAGTTTTAGTTTAGCTATAAACCCGAGCCCGACCCAAACCCGAAGCTATTCATTAAACATTAACCCGAACCCGAACCCGACCCGAAACCCGAAAGTATTTCGGGACCCGTCGGGCTCGGGTCGGGTAGCAGACCTCTAACGTGAACCCATCATCTCTTCCTCTTTACTAGTAGTTATAGCATGAAATAAACATGAATGAACATCAGAAGATATCTTGTTTCAACTGTGGAAAGATGTCAATCCACACCATTTTTCAAGTTCAAGTCCACCGACGTTAATCTACTCTCCCATCTGGTTTGTTTGTCGTACAAAGATTCTGCGTTATGATTGGTCAGTTCGCCTGTCAATCAAATTCCCTGCGAAATGTCAATTGACCAATCAGAATCAAGTATTCCAGCAAGCCATGTAATAAGCAAGCCATACCTTAGTCAGGTTATTGAATTTAAGGCTGTGAGGGATAGACTTACAGTTTTACACACACTGTATAGAGGTCCTAGTTTCTTTTTGTTTTTTTTGGAAAAAAATGTTTTGTCAGCTGAACAATGGACCTTTTTCACATTTCCGGGTTTCTCAGCAGCGGAAGTCGTCATAGTTGGGTTAACTTGAATAGCAGTGAATGGGAGAGTACCACAAATATATTTTTTTGCATTCCCATTTGCTCAAATAGCAAAAGAAAAACTCCACGATAGTGTTTTCATGACTTTCAATAAAAGGAAAAAAATTGAAATAGACTGATAACGGCTGTCAGAAGAGAGAACGATGTCAAATTTACCGTCCCTCCCATAGACGCTGCATTAGAAACACCCTCGCATTAGCGTTAACTGTTTTTTTGTAATTTGATGCAAAGGTGATATAACACAAAGAATAGTGTTATAAATGTACATACATTTTAAAAAAAATACAAATATGAAAAACTTTCGAGGATTTACGATGCTGATGACCGTTAACCGCGTCATCACAGTCTTGTGAAAAGGGCCTGTTGGTATGTTGTTAAAGGTCCCATATTTTACACCTTTCTGGAGTTTTATTTTAGGTTTTGATGTCCTTAAGAATTTGATATACATACATCATGACTAGATAGACACGGTGAGTTTGTCTTTACTATACAGGTTAGATGTGATCCACCTCATAGTAACAATCCTGTCAGATCGTCCATCCTTTGAGTGAGAGTGTAACGTTACAGGTCGGCCGATCTGGTTTCGTGGTTAAAGTTAACCTTTTCGACATGTTTCCCTGTTGTCGTTGCTCAGCAATAGCATGGACCTGATGTTGTCTGGAGGTTTGGCAAAAGGAGAGTGGGATGGTGGGCAGTGCTTGGGGTGGTGACTGAAGGCGGTGACTGTGTAGTTCTGACGTCAACTTTTTACGGAAGTCACAACGGTTCGTGAAAAATCACAGCTACTTTATGCAGGCTGTGTGAATTTTACTGTGGACTGACTGTTTTGAAACTTATATGGTAGTTACATAGCACCTAGACCTCAGTTATCATGAAAAAAAAGCCAGGAAATGTCAGTTTTGACAATATGGGACCTTTAAACAACAGTAGAATCCATTGAATACACTGGTACTTTTATCCCTCAGCCTCATTTTCATTCATGTCAAATAAGCGAAGATAAATAATAGAGAAGATTAAATAATAGTGAAGATCTATTATTAACTAGCCAATAATTCACTGTACAAAACACACTAAAATTATATACTTATTAATGAATTCATAGTAGGTCTGCGTCATAACGTGGATGTCGACAACTAAATTATTTTCTGCCTTTTATATGTTGGTAAACCAATTTATGATGTTGATAAGCCAATTTATGACAGGCCATGTGGTTGGACGTTAACAACAAAAGATATGGGAAGCATTTTCTACCTTTTAAATACTGGTAAGCCAATTTCTTTTTTGCGATCAATACTATACACAATTAGATACTTCCGTTTTATTATCTGCGTTGAGATTTTACTCTGATGTCCATGACCCAATCATTACAGACGTGCGGCACACCAGTTGAAAGTCATTGCTTTAAAACAAAGGAAGTGCTTGAAGGAAAAATCATTTACAGCTAAAATAATGGTTGACACATCCCACAATAGCAGCTATCAGCAATAGGCTACACCGAAATCTTTCATTAAAGTAACCTACATTTTTCTTTTTTCCCTCACTGCTCAAGGCTATAATCGTCAGTGCTTTTACTCTATAGCCTGTTTAAGACGAAAAGCAGTATGCTTTTAGGAGTCACGGTAGAGTACAATATAGCTAGTATAATTGAAAACATAAAGTGAGGACCAGATCAGCATTTTCACTAATAAGCTAGGGGAATTTCTCACACTCATCGCAAGTATTTCCTTGTTTATTTGGTGCCATCTGAAACACTGCACTTTCCACAGCAGCAACTACTTGTTTGCTTGCTCACATTCACCTCTCTTTGACAGTGAGGTTGAAGAATCTACAAGGTGTACAGAGGTGCTTTGATAAGGGATATAGGGTTTTTCTTTATTGTACTTGTAGTTTTCATGTGCTCAGTGAATGTTTTCATTTTCTCCCCATGATGACCATTCCTTTGATTTCCGTTCCCGTCATCTTGCTGGGTATTCTGTACACTGTAAAAAATCATATGATGAAAAAGCCATGACAGCTTATGTTTTTAAGTTACTTTAACTCATAAAAATAATTTAAGCAATTTCAACTTTTTTTT